TATAGTGACTTGCTTGAGGAGTGTCACTCTGATTTACCCATGATGAAAGAACAATGTATTTGGCCTTTTTCATTTATCATCTCATATAGGAAACAGCACTATAGCTAAATTACTGCATGGAAAAATGATGCAATTGCGTTTCTACTGGTGTGCCAAAGTCATTTGGCTTAATACATCTCCTGACTTCAAAATGTTCTCTAATTTGGGCAAGTTGTACAGCCATTCTTGCCAACGCTTTTGGTGTTTATCAGGAATCTCTTCATCCCATCCAAGCTTCTGTCTACACAAATCTTGCAGTATTATTTTGGGTCTCAAAACAGCAGGTGCAGGGATCATAAATCGAGCTTACAAGACTTAATATCCCTCGCCTTGTTGCAGGTTTTTTCTTGTATTTATTCTGGAAACCAAAGGTATCAGCTTCAACATTCCATTTCATGCCTAATGCTCTTTCAGTCGGCAAGTTGTCACTTTCTAAATCTATATCTTTCACTTCCAGTGCTCTTTCACTTTCAGGTATTGATTCCAACAACTGTCGCTGATTACTAATCCATTTAGTTAGCCTAAACCCTCCTTTATTACAGGTGTCTATCAGTTTAGCAGCTAGTATTTTTCCTTCATTTATGGTTGCAACTGATTTGAGTAAATCATCAACATAGAAGTTGTTGTTTATCGTCGTAGTGACTATATTGCTGTCAGTATCTGTGTTATCTACTGCTGTTCTCTTCAATGCATGATTAGCACAGCTCGGTGAAGATGTTGCACCGAATATGTGGACGTTCATTCTATATTCAGCCATTGGTTTAGTAGTGTCACCCTCTGGCCACGATAGGTAATGTTGATAATCCATGTTTTCTTTAGGTACTGCAACTTGGGAAAACATGATCTCTATGTCTGGCATCAATGCTATGGGCTCTAGTCGTAACCTTGAAAGTACTCCCAGCAGAGAATTTGTTAGGTCAGGTCCTTGCAACAGCATCTTATTTAATGATGTTCCCCGAAACTCTGCTCCACAATCAAATACAACTCTTAATTTCTGTTTCTGAAGATGACAGACAGCATGGTGTGGAAGATACCACAATCTTCCTTCTTCACCCCATAATTCATGGTCCGGTACCTTCTCAGCAAACCCTTTAGC